ACACACACACACACACACACACACACACACACACACACACACACACAAAATAAAGCAGAATAAACACAGCTCCAGGTCCAAAACACCTACTTTAAAGCAGCTCAGCTGGCATTGAACCACAAAAGATGTTAAGTGTAAAAAAAACAAACTGATTACTCTGACAGAGGGTTCATTCCCCCACAATGCCTTGCGATGGTGTAATTTCAGTCGAAGAAAAAAAAAAAAAATACAGAAATACCCTGAGGAAAGCTCCCCAGAATGAATCTCACACCTTTCCTGTGGCCTGTGCTTCGTGCATGCGTGAAGAGGGGGGACTTTGTGGTCTGCGTTTTTCTTTTGGAGTGAATGTGACTCGCAATTCCTCCTTTTCCATGAAGTCCTGCCGGGAATGTTGTGTCGGTTGTTTTATTGTTTATTTCTCCAGGGGCCGGTTGCATTTCCATATGCCTAAAAAAGCTAAGTTTGAGAGGATGGGGCTAAAGAACAGAACCCCTTTGTGTGTGTGTGTGCCATTCTTCTTCTTCTCTCTGTGTTTACGCATGAGAAACATGGCCCCCTCAGCGTGTTTTGTTTCGGGGTTTGGTGCGACGCACGGCGCACGCACCGCCCCGCGTCACCTTTAATTAATCATCCGATTATGGAAATGAGAGCTGCCGCATCATGTGTGGGCTCGGTCCCCACCACCTCCACCACCACCACCCCCCCGCCTCCAGATGCGGCGGTGCCCCGCCTGTCCAGGTCTCCGCGCGAGCGTTCATTTCCCAGGAAGCGCTATCGCGGAAAATCTTTTGGCAAGCGTGGGAAGCGCGCGGGCCAAACAAGCTCCGCAGAATGTCGATCCGCCTGAACAATGGCCCCAGTGTGCTCGGTCTATCGCGCATCTAATCCGATAGACACTTAAGGCACTTTTTTTTCTCCTTTTTTTGGACGGGAATTAAGCATTAAACTCACGTCTCATTTAACAAGGGATCAATGTGGAGTGTCTTTTGAGAGACTCCTGGAAGTGGTGCCCTCAGAATTTATGGCAAAACATGGTCAAGTGTATTGATTCTGGTCGGAGCTGAGCTGCGGACAGCTCTGAATCTCACAAATCCCCCTATTAATAGCTATTTTGTTCTCTTTCTTCCGTTGTTGTTTTTTTTTCGTCGCCGCATGCGGTGCTTTTCTAAGAGCGCACGGCCGAGGCCGCCGGTGGGAAAAAGCCTGTTGCTCAACACGCCGTGGCTAAAAGCCCTCTCACGCCCCGTCCCACGCTGGCCTGAAAAGGGTCGGCCCAAGCGTCGTTTCCGCAGATGTGACGTTTTATTTTCTGCCTTTCGGTTTGGTCGTTTGTGAGAGGGAAAAAGGTGAAACGGCGGCAGGAGATTTTTTTTTCAGGTGTGGCGGACAGCTGTAGATCAGCGGGTCACCCCACATCCCGCCGGCCCTCCTCCGGATCCTGTCTGCGGGGCCTCCGCAACGTGTGTATTAATACACCTCATTAATGCCCTTTGAAATCCTCCCCGCGCCGCGCGCGATAAATTATGGATGAAAAGACAGACCTGTCTGCACGCCCCGCTCCCGTCTAACCCCTGCCACCTTTCCTGCTCTGCGTTTTTTTTCTTTCTCCCTCTCTTCAATCCCAGCACATGTTTTTCTTTTCACTTTCCCTCTCTTTCAGCACACACACACACACACACACACTCAGACATGCACCATACCCAGTTTCAGCCTTAAATCTTCCCAGAAAGCTCTTTCTCTCTCTCTCTCTCTCTCTCTCTCTCTCTCTCTCCTTCTGGCACGTCCTCAAGTCTCCCATCAGGTTCTAAGCCTCTCTGGTAGCTGCATGTACAGCCTGTTTCTCCTTTAATGTTGTCTTTGAGGCATGCGCGCGGGCGCTCCGCCCCCGACACACCTGCACATGTCCTCTGCTCCACCTCTGGCGGGGATTCAGGGCCCGCTGGCTGACACCGGCGTTGACATACAGCAGGTTTTTAATTACTAAGCTCCCCTTAAGGAAATTGTTGAGATACTTAAAGAGATAAGGCCGGCGCGGAGGAAAAACAAAAAGTCTCATTGTTGTCGTGTCGGGGGTGCTGTCAGAGAGGGGGGGGGGATGTTTCAGCCGGGAGTTGGCCGACCGAATGCCTTTGAGCTGCGGAGTGACCGGTTTCCACAGTAGCCGATTTGAACGTTTCAACACAAATTATTTATCTCCGTCATCTGGACCGGCCAGATTGCATAACCGGGACGTGTCAGCGGGCGTTAAAAAAAACACGCCCAGACGCGTCTGAGCCCGGGTGCGTTTTTCCCCCGCTTTCAGCCAGACGGAGGCGGGGGCAAAAAGGTTCGGGGCCCGTTAGAACCGACTTGCAAATCAAGTCCTACCAAAAGGGTCGTGTGTCCTGAGGGGCCCCATGCCTGTGTGTTAGGACTCCAAAAAATAGGTACTTTTGAAAGGACGACAACTCCGATCTAGTTTTGAAAAAGCCCCACAATGTGGGCCACTCGAATCCTCTGCTTCTGGAAGACGCCAAAGAGACACCCCTTTCTTTTTTGTTGGATGTAAGCCTTTCCATTAGGGGTGTTCCATTCAAGTAAAAATACAGGCCATCGTAAGAGCAAGTGCATTAGATCTAAAAAAGACCGTTCTGACATTCTAATAGCCCTTAACCGGGGTTTTAGGGTTTTCCATCAGGTGGTAGCTCCTGTTGCATCTTGAGCCCATCTAAAAATGCAGACTCCCGATTGGCCAGCAGGTCTTTTGTCTCTTCGCCCTTAGCCTTAAAGACTGACAGTGAAAGCGCCATACGGCTGGACGGGCTGGGGGATTGCAGCATGGACGGGAAATCAAACCAAATGACTACAAATGACTGTGCATCA